AATAGGTCTGCGGAACAAGCACTAATTGATATAAAGGATAAAATTGTTGAAAATATTGAAAACAAATTTTTGACTCTTGGAGTTTTTTTGGACTTACAAAAAGCGTCTGATACTGTGCAGCACAATATTCTATTGAAAAAACTGGAAATCTACGGTGTACGAGGAGTTGCGCTATGACTAATAAAAATGTATCTTTCAGATCGTTATCAATATGTATCAATAAATGACCATTCATCTAATAAATTGAAAATACGATATAGTGTTTCTCAAGGCTCCATTTTAGGCCCTCTATTATTCCTCGTGTACATTAATGACATTACGGCAATACCAGGTCCCCTTAACTAATAATGTATGCAGACGACACAAATATATTCTTTGCTGGTGCGACGAAAAAGTGCGTCGAGAAGTTGGCTAATGAATATCTTTCGAAATTATCAATATGGTTGCAAATAAATCGTCTACAATTAAACACACAAAAAAACTAAGTATATCATTTCTAAACCAGCAAATAAGCAAGACCATAGTTCCATTAACGTAATATACGAGGGCACAACATTGGAGCAGGTAGCAGAACAAATATTTTTGGGCGTCTGGTTTGCTGAGGATCTATCATGGAAATGCCATGTAAACAAACTAAAGGCTGGTTTATCCCGGGTAACAGGGTGCATTTATAGAATACAAAATTTGATACCGACCTGGTTAAAACACACATTGTATTATTCCTTATTCTAGTCCAAAATTTGTTATGGTATTCTGGTCTGGGGAACGACGACGGCGGCGATTTTTAATAAAATTATCCTTTTGCAAAAGAAAATCTTACGAATGTGTGAAAATTATAAAGGGGATGCCCAGAAATTTAAGAACACAACCACTCTTCATCAAATATAATATTCTTAAGGCAGATCAAATATATTACTTCAAACTTTTACTATGAATACCTAAAAATAGACTTTACAGCACACCAGCGAACAGCCTTAGTGCATATCCGATTAGAAATCCGAAGCGAAGGATGCCGGCCGTCAGGACCAACTATGGTCAACAAACTTTCATTTTTCAAACAACTAAAACTCTAAATAGAATGGACTTCAACATTAACTTTAACAACACGTTACCTGGTTTTAAAAGGGATCGTAGAAATTTTCTGGTTGGCAGTGAATTCGCATTCTCATTTGGATAGTGTATTTCACCAAGAATACAATCACTAAAGGTATAGCTAATTTCAAAGATTTGTTTTCATTGTATTCCTTCATGTGAACTTTCTTGTGATGCTGATATGTCGGAGGAACAGAAGATTGCATTCTATTTTTTTTGTTGTTACTGTTTTTGGTTTCTTACGACCAACTCGTTTATAGAGTTTTTTTAGCAAATGAATATAGTGTCTATTCTTCTTGTTTCTTTGACTTGTTTCTCTTGTTTTATTTTAACTGTATAATGTTTTGTAGAATCTGTTATTATGTAACTACTTTGAGCTGCGGGACTTTAGGGGGCAGAGGCTTTGTCAGGCACCACGCCATTATCTCTGCCCCCTACGCGGCAAACCCGCGAAACAAATAAAGAAAAAAACAAAGCTTAAGGTCGCTGCGCTTTCACAGCGCTTGATTGTTTCAGCATATAATCGTCGACGGACTGAAAGATGACGAAATCAGTGATGTTGCACTTTAGACGCGAACTGATTGGCCCCGCCGCCACCTATTGTGTCTGCTGCGCTCTTTCTTTAGGTGACACCAATAGACCCTCTTCAAAAGTCCGCACCAACGCCTGCGGCCTGTCCGCCATTGCTTGCTCACATACTCTGAGCAAGTATTGGACACGAGAGCTGCGTCAGCGCTCGGCTGAGACTCGTCTTCAATCACTGGGAACTCGAGTTCCAACCGAATGTCAATGCAGTAGTCGGGTACCAATCCGTGTTTCGCCTTGGCCTTCTTTAGGGGACGCCAAAAATTCGGCACCACGGCTAAGTTATTTATTGTTATCTGTAGCCAATGATAAGTTTAGAAACGCAGGGTGCACACGGTGAGCCCCGAGCGTGTTATCATCGCTGCTCACAAATGAGATTGCGGCATTAGTCGACAAGAACGCCAAAAAAATGAATCATATACCCTCAGGATTTTATCACCGCTGCTCATCAATGAGTTGCGGCATTAGCCCATAGGAACACCAAATAATTAATCCTATACTCAGAGCATCTTATCATCGCTCTTCATCAATGAGATTGCTGCATTAGCCGACAAGAACGTGAAAGAACAAATTCTATACCCCGAGCATCTTATCCTCGCTACTCATCAATGAGGTCGCGGCATTAGCCTATAAGAAAGATATAGAGTGAATCCTATACCCAGAGCATCTTATCCTCGCTACTCATCAATGAGATTGCGTCATTAGCCGATAAACAGTATATAGAGCGAATCCTATACCCAGAGCATCTTATCATCGCTGCTTATCAATAAGATTGCGGTATTTGCCGATAAAAACGCCAAAGAACGAATCCTAAAAAAGAGCATAAACGTCAAAGACACGCCCTCCGTTTCTTAAACTGTCCGTGACTATAGACGTTTGCAAGTACGGCCTCTCGGCGCCGGAATTTTGCTTCTGGTGTAGGTAGGTCGTCCGATAGTGAGAATTGCTGAGGCGTACCCACGGCCTCAGGAATAAGAGAGAGAGAGAGAGCTAGGCGTTTATTAAACAATGATATCAACCAGCGCCTAATGCGGGTTTGCTACATTGTGAAATACTGTTTATCTTAGTATTTCACAATGTATATCATATACATTGTTAAATATGTATAATGTATATACATTAAATATGCTGTATATACATAGCTCAGGCTCATTAGCATGAACTATGTATACATAGTTAATGTATGTTCATGCTGATGAACATAAATCAGTTTATGAACATACTTGAATAAACATAGCATATACAGCATGAGCATGAACATGTATACATAATGTATATATATAGATATATATATATATATATATACAGCATGAGCGTCGTCACAAAATATTGTGATATTCATTATGAAATACATTGTGAAAAAAAAAGTCCGGCCTCAGGAATGCTCGGCTATCAGACGACCTACCCACACCATTAGCAAGATGGCGGCGCCTATGGGCCGTACTTGCAAGCATCTATAGTAGGTGCTGGTGTCAGAAGGTAAGAGCATTTGATTCATAAATAACGTTTCATGTCAAATAGCTCCCAATCTAGTCACCGACCACTTAACGCAGGGCGTGCCAAGTCCCGAGCATCTTATTATCACATTGCAGTCAATAAGATGGCGGAATTAACCGGTAAGAACTCCGTTATAGGCTATGCAAGCAGAGTCATATGGCAACGTGCATCTTTAATGGAGACAGGCGTTCTTTAACGACCATGGCTGGTTGCTGAGGATCGAACCACAGGAGCACGAGCTCAGCTCGCACACCTCAGAGTTCACGCGCCGGTTACGCATGCCGGTCATGCAACCACGGCATTGTTCTATTATACAACATTGATCAATATATTACAAACTCCGAAGAAGGAATCCCGAAGCGAGAGGTGTAAACAAATGAAGCCACACACCGCGTTCCTTAAGGTGTCAGTGACTATAGTCCTCGAAAAGGGAATACTGACTGGTTGTTCTGTTTGAAGATAGACTTTGCTAAGTTTGTGCCCGCCGTTCTTTCGATTCGATGGCGAAGGGCCGCGGTATTGTTACCCATGATTTCAGAGAAGAGATGGTACTCAGATCTCGGGAGCTTCAGTAATTTGGGAACATTCTGTAATGTTATCCCCATCGGACCTTATCCTTTGCAAAATAACGCTTTATTTTATTTCATTCATTGACTTCACAGGCGTCTAGTAATTGCCTATACAGGACCGTTAGAAAAACAGAAAGAAGTAATCGTGATATACCGTAACCTACATATATGGAGACACAATCAAATATTTGAACTGTCAGTAATAGAAGTGCAACGACGCCAAAGTCTGCAAGTATACACTAAAATAAGTCATTCAAACTTGATTAAATTCAACAATACATAACCTATCTCAAACAAACAATAAAAAAGCGGACAGGGGACAGCAACGGGTCTCAGATAGTCGCAACATAATCAGGGAGACTATATTCCCCACATTTTGGAAAAACGGGAGACGACGGCCGAAAACGGGGACAAACACAAAATGTCTAAAAAATGTGTAACATAAGCCAGCTCGCCTATCTAATTTATCTTAAGACTGTTCGAGTTTTTTGTGGACACGGCGAGTCGTAAAAATAGTTACAGGCAAGTAGGTGATTTAGAAAGATTCAACTTAACGTGATTGATTAAGCCTGTCATATGCGAGCCATGCCATGAGGCAGATCTCCTGAAAAATCTCTTCATAACAAATTTAAAAACAGAAAAACAACCTAAGAGGCCAATTTTTTATTCTTTTTACAAATTTGCAAAATGTTATTGGAGAGCACTTGCATTAACCTTCTTTTGAAACGTTTCTAATCTTGAATTCTTGTGTGTTACTCGTTAAGAAGTATGCGACTACGTTTCTAATTTTAATTTTTTTTATTGTGTCGCATTATTAATTACACCGATATTGTTCGCAACAAACACTTCGAAAATTAGTAGTTTGATCAAAATATTCATAAATAATCTTGATAGTAAACTAAGTACACAATTGAAAGTGTGCGCCATCGGTCTAAAATCCCTTTTTATTACTCAGAAGATGAAAACAATTCTAGATTTATAAAATAAAAAAAGACGCATGTGTGGAACTTTAAAGCAGTTGCAATAACTTTCTGGTACATTGCTTTAAAAAAAGAACAAAAAATGCGTCATTACAATAGAAACAAAACATAAACCACCGTTTGTATTTTTTTGAGGGGCGGTTTCTACAGTTCACTTGCGGGTACTTAAGCTGCCGTCGCCCAGCGAGAGTTTCAAAGGTGTGCAGGCGAACTTCGGAGGTTCCGCATTCTGCTACTGAACCTAACTGTATACGGAAAATCTTTCGCATCTACTAAAATGCTGTTGCTAAAACTCACGCTCGTTATTCTGATTTCGGCGATTGGTGAGAGGACAATGTGTTCAGGTGAGTGGACAAAATCTTTCTCGAAGTGAATCTGTAACCATAAAAAGTACGCAATGTAAAAACAGAAAATCTGAATTGGCTTGCTGTGACGTGAGCATTAAAAAAACAAAGAAAAACCGATGTGCATGTGGTTTGAGCGCAAATGCGAGTATTAAATTAATTGATGTGATTAATCAATTATTAAGAAATATGAAAAGGACAAGACAAAACTTGTAAAAGAACTAAAAAAGAACGCTGAAGTGGTTTTTAATCATCTGTTGAGTATTCTACTCGTTCGAATGCTTGTCATTGATAGGGTCTGCGGTGGATCCCTGAATTGCAAGCTAAATTCCTAAATTTGTTGTTGGAAAGAATTTATAACCCTCCACAAGTACATATTTATAAACACAATAAAAGGTAATAAGTTATAATATAATATAAAGTTAGAGGTCACATATAATAGCAGGCCCTACGCTAAATCACTAATCTCCATGTCTATTTGCTGGATTACGCACCGCTTGGTCGTTGCAGCGCGAGTGCGGCCACAGCATGTTCCGGATAGCCTACAGGCCACCTAAGCTAAACTTAATAAAGAAAATAATAAAGAAAAAACATAAATTTCATCCGGCGGCGTTAGCTCCGCGCGTCGTATCAGAAGAGTGGCTGTTCCGCCGCGCGCAAAGCGAACGATCCTCCAGGCGAAGTTTGTCGGTTCTTTACCATATATTCGGCTTAATGGAATTCAGCCTTTAGGCCATCATAAAGTCAGCCGCGTGAAACGTCGCCGAGGCTGGGTGGCTCCATGATGAAATACACATTTCCTGCTCGTTCACCGTCATTCGCCAAAGTTATTATTTTTTTTTTTTTAGGGGCGAAGCTTTTTAGGGTTTAGCCTTGTCCCGCGTCCGTGCTCACATCGATTGCCGTCCCATCTGTCTTAAAAAAGAAAAAAAAATGTTTGCGCAGTCGACCGGATTCGGACCTGTACGACTAGAAACCCTAATGGATTTCTAGTCCATCGCCTTAACCACTCGGCCACGACTGCGGGATGAGTAAGCTACTCTGAGATGTAGTTGTAACTCAATAGCTGGGTATGTCATGGATGAAACGTTGCTTGTAGCCGCTCAACGTCTATACAGGAGAGAGCGCTGCGGTCAAATGCGTATATAATCGCGTTAAACTTTGCATGCATTGGCTCAACGTTTACAGACGATAGGGCGCTGCGGTCAAATGCTCAAATGCGTATATAACCGCGTTCCATACCACACATTCTCTTTCTGACATGGATGAAAACGAACGAAAAGCTCGGTATGCTGCGGCTCAGCGTCTACGCAGACAGCAAGCTGCTCCGGAAAGGATAAAAAAAAAAAAAAAAAAAAAAAACAATCCGCACCATCGGCACTACCTATGAACAAAATCAGTATCATCAGCACCACCAGAGCTTCGCCCCAATCAACATCATTCACCACGTGGAGATGCGATCATTTATTTTTTTAAATGTTGTGTAAACGGTCGTAGTTGCCTTGGCGAACCCGTGGAAATTTTTACAAAAATGCAGCACCGCAAAAAAAAAGAAAAGGCACAACTTATCGAACGCAAGTCCCGCGGTCCCAGGCGACGTGATCAAAGCACATGCCTTGCCATACCAAATATACTGTGCCTTTGCATGCTTGGATGCCGATCAGGAATCGACGCTGTGTGGATATGCTAACCCTTCGGGGGAAAGTTTTGAAGGCGTGTCGCGCGTAGGGATGTCTTTGCTGCATACATATCGGTCGCGGAGTTCTGGATTGTTCAGTTGTTTCGGCGAGTTGCTATCGCTAACCAGTGGCTGCTCTCAATAAAAAGAAAAAAAAAACTACCCAATAGTGTTTTATTTTTTTATTTTCTCCACATCGCAAGAATAAACGAAAGCTATGTCGGTCGACGTTGATAAGTGATGAATTGTTGTCGGGATAAGAACTGTCGTTCTTATCCCGACAAAAATCAGACGTACTGACGAAAAAAGTCCTCCTTCGACTCTTAGCAATCCAGAACCCCATGAAACCAAGATCGCGAGGGCAACCGGTTCTTCCCTTAGGCAGTTAAGTGTGGGTTCAACTCACATTGCCGCTTTGAACAATGAACCAGGGGCGTCGGAAGTGATCGGTGGAGGGGGAGGGGCAGAAAGATTTCTGTTCTATACCGACAAGAATGACTTTTGTCCGTCTTATCCGCCTTCTCCAGGGATTATTTTTGTCATTCTTGTACAGCTCGCTTGCACCTTTGCATTTAATTGCATTATAACCATAACCGTAAAATGCAAGCCTTTAAACTTTGTTGGTGTCAGACTGGTGGCGGCTGAAAAAAACTGTTTGCTCTACTGACGTCTAGCCCCGGGTTAGCTCAGTTGGTAGAGCGCTCCACTGGAATTGTAGAGGTCCCGGGGTCAATAGCCGGATCATGCGGATTTTTCCGATCGCGCACCAGTCACCTAGCTTTGTTTAGAGATTTGTGTTTTTCGTTTGTCCCTCTTGTTCCCCTTCTCCAGAGACTATTTTGTCGTATATATGAGTTTTCAAACGATTCGGCAGGACTTGAATAGTAAGCACCAAGATTAAAAATAATGAACCGTGATTATACCTACCATGCCTCCGAAATTTCAGGTAACCTTTGACAGTGTAGCATGTAACGTTGTACTGTAGCTGTCGTTCAACTCCTTAATTGGGCGATTCAACATTTTTTTGTACTTTCAGTAGTAAATACCAACCTATAATTTTGTATTGATATTTGTAACCAGAGTCCTATATATCCGCTGATTACCCGCGGATCATCTGCAGATATCCGCAGCCAACTGGCAGATGCGGATAAACGTGAATCAGGTTTAGCGGATTGCGGATCGGATGCGGATGCGAGGGGCTGCGGATGCGGATCGGATACGGATATCCGCGGGTTCGGATTTACATTTTTGCCGAGGCGGCCCATAAACGTGTGCGACTGCAGGGTAGTCAAGTGAATGATATTATGAAGTGCATCATCGAATATTTTTCTGGAGAAAAAAAAAACTATCTTAAACAAAAGGTGCCAATTGGGGAGAAAAATTGTTCTTTACGCCTAGAAATACCTAACTCTCACCAAAGATCGCGTTAGTGTACTGTCTCGCCAAAAATGGTATTCTTAGATAAAGTAAAGATTGTAGGGGTATTAATCGTCTCGGGAAAGCGTATTCTTGTTCGGCAGCGAAAGAGCGGAAGACCTCCTTTCGTACTCGGTCTACTGACGTCTATCCATGTATATACGAGTACTACTTTGCGACCGCCAGCTTTCCCCTCCCACTTTTTTATTCTCTAACCAGTATAAAATAACACAACGTTACTAGTCTGTTCTGCTTTATTTTTTTTTCTGCTCGAAACTATGTGTTTGCTCAAAATAGTTGTTACAAAGAAAAAAAAAAAAAAAAAAAAAAAAAAACACCTTTTAGTGCATTTTTTTGGCAGTTTCGCAGCCTCGCAGGACAATCTCATAAGCGATCATATTTCCAGCGATGCGAAGTGTGTGTGAAGGGATGATCACATATAAGGTTATAATATAACTAAAATAAAACACAATGCGATAAAATGACTTTAACCGTATTTTGATTCGAAGAGTTTTTTGTGCGTGCAAAGGTAAGCAAACGGCTTATATCTTATTAGGTACCAGGAACCATACAGATTTCTTTTGTCTTTTTTAATATTTTTAAGATTCCGTTGTAATTTCATATGTAAAATAAATGCGGGAACTGTGGGTCGGATGCGGAACCGAATTTGGCGGATGCGGTTCGAATGCGCATAGAAAGTATGCGGATGTGGGTTGATCAGGACAGCATAATTTAAGAACATTGCGGATGTGGTACTGGCTTGGATAGAAAGTCTGCAGATGTGGATCGCGTTGGGATGATCAAACTGTTATCAGCGCCGGTCTCAATTCTTAACGTATGAAAGACTCATTTGTTTCGTTTTCTTCATGGAATGATAGTCGCACAAAAAATTCGATGAAAACGAACTTCAATTACCCCATCAATAGAACATGATAATAATGATGATTGTGATGATTCTGCGGCTTTTTCCTTTCCTACATGCGAGCTCGAAAAAATATCCTGCCCTAGCCATAAATAAAAAGGTGGAAAGAAAAATGAACATAAAACTATTATTTTGCCACCTGCCACCTGTGCTCCAGTCTCGCCTTTGTTCTCTGGACACACTGAGCTGGCAAACCTTGCCACAGCAAACATTGCAGTGTTTGCTGCATCCACCTTGGTTGTCTTGGGGTTCCTACTGGCTCCTCTGCTTCACTTGTGTCGGCATTGTTGCCACCTGGAGTGAAAGTGAACCACAGAGCGTCCGATAGGGTCATTTCGGGGTGAGGCTGACGATGGTCCATCACAGATAATAGAAGAAGACACTCACTGGCAAGCACTAAATGCTCCACTGTCTCAGTCCCGTCCCCGCACGCCTGACACATAGTGGATTCTACCTTGGGGTCGAAGCATTTCTGGTGGACCAGTGCTCACAGGGCTCCCGCTTTCGTTTTGAAGAACAGTCAGCTGCCCAAACTGTTATCATGCAGTTGGGTTTCCGCCGCTATTACTCGCTTATATTCCCTGTAAAATGATAAGGTTGATTTTCCCTGCGCCGTTTCGAGCCACTGGAGGGCCTCCCTATCACGCACTTTTCTTCGCATTTCAACCTCCCACTTCTGCGCTGCTGTTGCCTCTACGGGTTCTGCGAAGACGCCGTATTTTCTCTCGAGGTGGTAGAGATGCCTGTGTTGCCATGTTTGTAGTCCAGCCATGTGGGTGCAGTCGAATGGCCTCCTGGCCCATCGGAGCCGATTCATGTGCCACAGTCGTTTGTCGCACTTGGGGTTGCTGGAGACCTCTCGGGCTTCGAAATTTGACCACCCCAGGTCTCTGCACAGCTACCGTCAGAGGCCGGTAGCTGCGCAGATGGTTCCGATCGCTATCTTTTATGGGGATCAAAACAACCCGGCCACGTCTCCAGTCT